CAGAACTAATTTTAGCCTCCTAAGTTGTCGGGGCAGAACGGAAATAGGATGCAGAACAACATTTACCAACAAGAGCGCAAGTTCACCTCGGAAAACACCTCAGCTCCAGCCCAGAAACGGAGGGGCAGGGTGGCAGGGTCCCCCGCCCCCATGGCTGAGGCCATCCTTCCAGGAGGAGGACCACGTCTGCCTGGGCGAGCCGGCTTCCTTTCCAACACCCACTTCCAGCGATCACGTGTCCATGAATGAAAACACACAGCTGGTGCTGCCAGTCCCCAAGAGGGCCTGCAGAGGCACGTGGACACACAGCAGGACTCGGAGAGTCAGAGCCGAGTATGGTGCTGCTTAAACACGGAAAGAAAGCCCTGCTTGGTTCTGGGTCAGGAGGAAGCATGGCCGACAGACCCCCAGGTCCCCCAAACCACTTCAGATCTCCAGCGCCACCACTGTCTCAGACAGAGCCGCCGCCACGGACCAAGTTTAGAAATAACAGAGACTGGAAAAGGCAGACGAATCTCTCCTTCTCTCCCCATCCCAAGCCAACAGGCACCATCTCCACGCCGGTACCACCAGAACCACAGATAGCAGGGACCCTCTGGGGCTGGGGCGGGCCTGCAGACCTGATAGAGAACCAGAGACCGAAAGGAAGCCAAAAACAAAGAGGTGGAGTATCTATTTTGGAACAAAGACTTGGTGATAGAATGAGGGGTGAATGAAGACAAAGAATTCTGGGGAGGCCACTAACTCCCCTGTCGAAGAGTGCTGCTTGCACCACCCTGGGAAGACGACAACTCTGAAATGAATACTCGGGTCTCCACCTTGTCAAGCAACCCCCTTAAGTAACAGGCCAGGGACGGGGAGCACTTTTAAGGATATTTTTCCCATCATCATAGATCCTGGGTTAAGAGTTGAGCTGCTCACCACAAGGTCCACGATTCAAAACCACCAGCGGCTGGAAGAGAGAAAGACGAGGCTCTCTGCTCCTGTAGAAAGTTCCAGTCTGGGAAACCCACAGGGGCAGTTCCACGCTGGCAGTGAGCGGGTTGGGTTGGACTTTCTTCCCAGGGCACAAGCCCATCTCTCGTCAGCTTCCAGGGCTGCGAGTTGTGTCCCTCGCTGAGTTTCATCACTGAAGAGGGGCAACCCTCCAAAAAGCCCTGCCCAGCAGAGCTCGGAGCACACCACAAACCACGGGACAGGCACAGGCGGCTGCCAGTCTGCCAAGCCCAGACCCCACCAACATGTCTGTAGAGACCAGACACTTCCATCAGACTGCCTGTACCCACCGGCCGCCTCTCACTGGCAGTTCTGCCCACCCCACTTCTCCTGGTCCAGGAGGAGATCTAGTCCTGTCCCCCATTCCAACGTGGCCACTGAAGCCCAAAGAGGAGTACAGACATCTGCCCCTACCTTTTGGGAGAGGCTGCCCAGCAGCCCTGGTGTGGCCGTCCTCGGAGCCCCCAACCCACAGTCGCTGCAGGGCCTCAGAGCGCCACCCAGCAGACCCACTCAGGAGGAAGGGCATGCCCACGGCCTGCTACCACCCCCAGCGCTCCTCTTGGCAGACACGGGCAGCCTCCACTCCAGCTCCAGCGGTGCCCAGGTGAGCAGAGAGCGGGTGCGGGGCAGGAGAACCCCAGCAACAGGCACTTCCTGACATGCTGCCCACGTGGGAGGCAGGCGCAGGGAGCAAACCTCAAGGCAGCGGTCTTGGCCTGTGTGGACAGAGGCTCCGCCCAGTCCTGCCACCTCAGGCTCGGCTGGCTCACCCACAACCAACGCCTCCTTGAAACCCGAACCGCTTCTGGGAAAACTCAAGGACGCTGGGCGAGCGGATCTTGTGAACCACGGATTTCATACCAAACACACCCTGAGCACCCTTTGAGTGAAGCAAAAGGTTTGGGGAAAAACTCCACCTCCCACCATTAATCAGACTGGGGTGAGGGCTCCCATTCGCCAATACCCCAAGCTCCAACAACTGGCCCTTTAAAAGCAAGACAACATTCCAGGATCAATGGCTTTCGATGGAAATCAGATTGTTTTTGCCCCCTTCCCCCAGGCACCTCCAGCAGGCAGTGTTTGCGGACACAGGTAGGTGTCACAATTGGAGAGGCACTGCAGGGGCTAGTGGGTAGAGAAGAGTGAGGCTGCTCAATAGCCATGCCCAGGACCATCCTCCCCACACGCTGCCTGGTGGGTACACCCACGTGTGCACACAAGAGTTATCTGATCCAAATGATCCGTAGTGCCAAGGCTGAGAGATCCTGTTCCAGACAGAACTGAGGCCCACCCACCAGGACCTCGGGGCCAGCTACGCACGGTTAACCTGAAAATGATCGCCTAGACATCCCCTGAGCCCTTGCCCATATCCTAGTTTGTAATGACAAGCTAGTGCCCCTGCAGCAGCACTTCAGAAAGCTAACGGGAAAACAGAACGAAAAGACAATGGGGGCATCAAAAGGATACAGGGCCAGGCACGGATCGAGAAAGACGTGCGGGGCTAACTGAACACTTATGACCAGGACCACGTGTCGCTGTTACAACCACCTCTGCCTTGCTCTCTAGGTCCGAGCTGTCCAGGCCAGGAGCCAGAGATGCCGGTGACTATGGGGCACCTCGATGTGGAGACTCTGAAACGAAGTGTTCTCCAAGTGTAACACAGACACATTGGGTCTGGACTATCTCACTTCTTGCTAATATTGACTACATGTCGAAAAGATCATTTTGTACATATTAGGCTCTGTAAAATATAGAATGAAAACTAATGTCTTGTTTCTCTTTTAGGAAGACCAGAAGAACTTAAGTTACATGTATGGTTTGCATGGTATTTCTGTCGAACAGCTCTGTTCTAGAGCTGCCTTCGGGGAGGGCTGTTGTGTGCAGCTGGGGAGGGGGTGGTGGGGGCTGCCAAACAGCAGGACAGGTTATCCCTGAAGACAAAGGCAGGAGCGAGCGTACCAGGTGCCCCACCACCACCACCCCGCCCCCGCAAGGTCAGCAACTTCCACCTTCCTTCCTGGGCAGGAAGAAGTTTTGATGTTTGGAGTGCATCTGATGGATTGGGGTGGTGTGGGGGGGCGGTAGCTAGCTGCTGCCCAGCCTGCCAACATTCACTGCCTGCACAGGGCTGCCTCAGGGAGGAAATGCAGCCTTTCTGGGGTCCCACGTCCATGTTCTGCCCAGCTAGGTGGTGAAGGGCGTGGGCAGGTGAGACAAACAGGGAGGAGCCCCGGCTGCCAGGTCTGAGGCTGTCTGATTCTGGGAGGAAGTCCTGGGGCTGAGACGAGGTCTGTCTAGGGATCCGGCGTCCACGAGAGTTTAGAGACAAGGAAAGCTTCCTCCTCGAGAAGTCAGACGGCTGCCATCCTGGCTCTGCAGCCAGTGCCTGCCCTGTTCACTTCAGCATCCCCATGCCACACGCTTCGCGAAATCAACTGCCACGGAGAGGGCTCTCTGCAGTCCCAGCAGCAGCATTTAACAAAGGGAAGGGAAGTCTAAGCTCAGTCAGACCACCTCTTTGCCTCCACAAGATGTGGCTCCAGGCAAGTCCTCAGGCCCCCTCCCACCGGGCGTCCAGGCACAGATTGTGGAGGGGGGGGGGGGGCGCATAGTGTCCTAATCTTCTGGTCCTTACACTGAGGCTGCGCAGCAGCTCCCAGACCCAAATACAAAAACTCTCTACGCGTAGACAGCTGAGTCACTCAACTTCACAAAGGAGGTGGGGAAAAGCAGGGGTGAGGATGGAGTAGAGATTCCTCAAACGCGCACCCTCAGGAGCCCACGGGGGAGAGGGAGGGTGTCCCAGCCCCGCCCCTCCAAGCCAGACCCCACCCCCCACGGGTTTCCCAGACTCGCGCTACCGCCACCGCGGCGGCTAGGGACCCGCGCTGCATGTGTAATGGGGGCTGGGAACAAAGACGCGCGGGACCCAGAGCCCGGGGCGCGCACCAGTGCGCCCGGCCGCCCCCCCCCCCCCCCCCCCCCCCCGACTTCTCCAGCTAAGCGGGAATACTCAGCTCCCCACACTTCCAAGGGCTGCCCTGAGTCACCAGAACCAAACCCCCGAGTGGTTCCTGGCGCGCCCGCCGGACCCGAGCGCACCCCGGCCCCCTGGGGAGGCAGGAATCGGGTCTGCGGACTTCGGGAAAGAACGCTTCCCTGGAGCAACTCCTCGTTTACACCCTTGGACCCATACAGCGCCCCGTGCGCGCGCGCGCGCGCGGGTGGACTGAACGCTAGTGCCAGGCTCGTTGGCAAGTTGGGGACGCGGCCATGTGGCTCCCGAAGGCCCGAGTGAAACGGACCTGTTGGTTCCCCTTATTGCCCCACCCCCTCCTCGCAGGCGTCCAAAACAAAGCTGTCCTCCCCGCGGCGGGCTCGCGAAGAGCCAGCACAGGTGGGAGCCAGCGCGAAACGTCCGGGCGGGCTGGGAAGCAGGCACCGACACAGCCCCGGGCGGGTGGCGGGCGGGGAACCGCCTCCCGGCCAAGCGAAGCCGCCCCCTTCGCCTCTCCGCCGCTCGGGGCTCCCAGGAGCGCGCAGCCGTGCCCCCAGCCCCAGCGGCACCTCCGATCCCATCACCCCCACACCCCCCTTAGATCTGCCCGCCCCGCTGGGCCGTTTCCCCCAGTCTCCCGCTTTTTGGTCTTTATTTCCCCCATGCACTCACCCTGGGCTCTGCGCACCCATGCAGCCCGAAACCCAACCTGGGGCTCCGGCTCCCAGCCCCTCTCGCGGGGGGCTCCTCCGACCCGTGCGCAGCACTGCGCAGACCGGGGCGCGCCGCCGCGATCCCCAGTCCCGCAGCCAGCCGCACGGAGCACACTAGCCGCAAGTTAGCGAGCCGGGGACGCAGCGCACCCCGAGTCCGCGGCGCGCCTCTCCGAGGGGCGGGTGCAGGTGGCGCCGCGAGGTGGTCACGGGCCCACCCTTTGTTGGTAAACACCGCCGGGCGCCCGGGACGGAGCCCGCACGCCCTCCCCGCGGCGCCCTGCCCTTACCCGCGCACAGCGATCCCCAGAGGAGGGCGAGGGCCGCCCAGGGTGCCGTCATGTTCCGCGGCGCCGCCCCGCGGACGCCCGGAGCCCGCGGGTAGGGCCGCGCGGGGCTCCCGGGCCGCGCGGGGCTGGGCAGCAGCTGCACGCTCCTTCCTTCGGTCCGTTCCGGCGCGTTCCGTGCGCCTGGGTCGTGGGCGGCGTGCGGGCTCGGGTGGCCGGGCTCAGGAACGCTGCGGGCGCCGCAGGATGTGACCTGGGCTCGGGGGCGGCGTGGGGGCCGGGGGCCGGCGGCGGGGCGCGGGCCGGGGTGCGCCCGGCTCAGGCATAGCGCTGCGGGGCTGGGCCCAGGCCCCGGGCGCAGGGGCCGAGTCCGGAGGGGCCATGAACGGGGGAGGGGTGGGGGGAGGGGAGCTGAACCGAGTCCAAAATGGCTCCTGAGCCGCGGCCGCGGAGCTGAGCCAGCGGGGAAACCCGGATGTTTGATACAAAGAGGCGGGCGGGCTGGGCTGGGCGGGGAGGGGGAGGGGAGGCTGGCCCTCTGGCCGCGTGGTCGGCGCTCCCCCCTCGGGGGCGGGGCCCCGGGAAACAACAACACGGAGGCCCCGCCCCCCAGCCTGCGCCCTCCGGGAAAACTTGCCCGCGCGTAGGGGCTGGATGGAGGAAGGGGTAAGCGAGCGCGGGTGGCAGGACTGGGCGGAGGTCGACTGTGCTCCGGGATCCCCCCCCCCAGTCACGGCACCCCGGATTGCCACTCCCAGTGCTCGAGCCCACCCCCCAAACGCACGCTGCTTCGCGATGGGAGCGAAGCTGGAGATGCTCCAACTCTTGCCTGGACTCCTGTTTCCCACCTGGGAGCTGGAGGGGCGCACCACAATGAGCCATGAAAAAATCCTATCCTTATTAATGGGCAAATTAATTGGCAGAAAGAAGCCGATATCTTCGGTATGCCACGTGGCCCCAAGGTCTGCAATCTCACCCCACACACTAAAGGAGCAGAGGTGGGAACCCTCATGCGTAGTGATTTGGGTCCAGTCAAGGAAGTGAGGGCGCTGAGACCTGCTTGTAGAATAACAAGCATAGGTGGAATAGGGCTTACCCTAAAGGACACTACACCCTCCTTCAATCTACACATTCAAAACTGCTCCCTGGGCCCCAGCCTTGAAGATCTTGTCTAGCAAATGGGAGTGGTGCCCCGTCTTCAAACCCCAAGTTCCTCCTTTGCCATGAGACAAAACAGATGGTGCCCGGTTCCATTACTCAACATTTGGATGAAAGATTCAACCGAGTAATTCTTAACAAAAGGGAGAGAATGCACAGAAGAATCCCCAAATCCCATGAAATCCAGCATCTCCAGAGCCATGGAGGCTGCAACTCAATGCTGACCCTACTATGCCACCAGGGCTTTATTCTCAACCTTTTAATGATGGTCCTTCTTGTGCAATTTCACCAGATAACCCATTATCGGACTTTTTAACAAAGGGCCGCAGGCTACTATGTGCCAAGTAAGCAGTTTTACAGGTGTCCTCTGGCTTTGTATACAGTACTTAATAATTCCACAGGACGACTATGTGAAGGAGGGTGCCTCATCAGGGTTGGAGAAAAACTCAGTAACCTGCAATGTGCATGCAGATGAAATCATCATGCTTCCTGAAAGCCAGAGGACTTCAAGCATTTACTGACAAAGATAAAGGATTACAGCCTTCAGTATGGATTCTAAATCAACATACAAACCCTCACAATTGAGCTGATGAGCAACATCATGATAAACAGTGGAAGGCTCAAAGGACTTCCTTTGACTTGGGTCCCCAATCGATGCCCATGGCAGCAGCAGTCAAGGAATCAAAGCAAATGTGCTGCAAATGACCTCTTGAAAGTGTTTAGAGCAGAGATGTCACTTCGAAGAACGTGCTCCCGACCCAAGCCTCATCTTTTCAGTTAACCTCATGTGCCAGAAAAAGCTGGACACCGAGTAAGGAAGGGCGAAGGATTGATGCTCTTGCGTCTGGGAGTTGGTGAAGGGCAATGGACTCCCAGAACAGCAGACAAATCTGCTTTGGAAGAGATAACAGCCAGAATTCGCCTTAGAAGCAAGGCTCATGAGACTTCGTCTCATTTACGTACTTTGGACATGTTATCGGGAAGGATCAGTCCCTGGAGAAGGGTAGAGGGTCCGTGGAAAAGAGGAAGACCCTCAGCAAGATGGATGGACACAGTGACTGTTCACAGTGGGCTCAAGCATAGTGCAACGACAGGACCAGGCACAACAACAATGGTAAGGATGACGGAAGACTGGGCAGGGATCACGGGGTTGCTGTGAGTTGGAAGCAATTCAACAGCACCCAACCACCACCACGCCGCACTTGTCCTCGAATCAACGGCGTTCCAAATCACCCAACTCCTCACCTCAAACGTTTGGGAGCCATTCTTTACTCCTCTGTGGTAGTTACATAATCTGTTGTCAATGTGAGATTTAAGAGTGCAGGGGTGAAGTTTATCCTATCAATCAGGTCGCAGCTTGATGACCTCATTTGGAGGCTCGAAGGAGATAAATAGCTCGCTGAAGGTGTGGCATTCCTGTTGAGAAGATACCTGGAGCTACACTAGAGCCCTGGAGGTGAAGGAGCCACGTGGAGACCACTGCCAGTGCTGAGATGCTTCCACTGCCACTGGATCCACAAGACTTTCTACCCACTGGCCTGTGATCTGCCTGCATTCAGCATCATTGCATGCATTGTGTAAGTCTGAAGAATTTATAGATGGATATGGGACATATGGGCTAATATTGGACTTATGGGCTCAATCTAGACTGGGCTGGGATGTTTTCTCAATATTCAATTGCTCTGGTATATAAAGCTCTTTCTTTTTTTTAATTTTTAAAAATTATTTTATTGGGGGCTCATACAATTCTTATCACAATCCATACATACATCCATTGTGTCAAGCACATATGTACATTTGTTGCCCTCATTGTTCCCAAAACATATAAAGCTCTTTCTTATACACATATGAGTGTCTATGTATTTGTTTCTTTAGTCTACCCGGGCTAACACACCTCCCATATAGTCTATCAAAAGTTCATATCAAAAACACACACACCATCGAGGTACTTTTTTCCATGTGTACTACCACCGCCCATCATCTCTGTTCTGAGCCCCTACCATTAGCAATGAACAGGAAGGTCTCTTAACTGACCACCTGCTTCCATTCTTGAGTGACTACCATATCCATGCAGCAACTGGAATGATCTTTTGAAAGTGGAAATCGGATCGCATTACTCCATTACTTTAATCCTCCCAAGATTTCCTAATACCTTGACCAATAGAGTTCTACATAATCACCAGCCCCGTTGCCTCCCATCTCGTCACCAGCTCACTCTGGGTTCCCCTGACACAACCAGGTTGTTCCTGCCTTGGGTATCCACACTTGTTATCCCTCTGGAAGAAATCCACATCGTTGAGCTTGTAGAATTAGTTTCCATCTCTGCCACCGTGACTCATGGATCGAAACTGACTAACTAAACTGACAAAGGTGAGACTGGAGATCTGCAGAGCAAGTTGGGTGTGGGTGTCTTGTTTTCTTTACAACTACAAGAATACCAAAGACCACGTTTAAGAAAGGCGGTGGCTGGAAGCTGAAAGGCCGAAAATGAAGCAAACCAAAGCTAACAAATGTCCACTCTAGAACTTAGGGCAGGGGGGTCTGCCATTAAGGCATTCTGTGTATTAGGACCACGCGTGTTCTGATCTCTCCCTTCCTTGGTCATCACAAGCAGAGAACAAGAAATCGGAAAGCAGCAATGGGGCATGCTGTTGTTGGGGGCCATCAACAAGGCAGTTCTGGCCCATCGCAACCTTAAGCACCACAGAACAAAACACTGCCCAGGCACGCGCCATCCTCACAACTACTCTTGGGTGAGCCCATCGCTGCAGCCACTTGGCAATCACTCTTGTGGAGGGCCTTCCTGCTTTTTGCTGCCCGTCTTCTCCAGGGACCGGTTTCTCCTGACAACATCTCCAAAGGATATGAGATGAAGTCTTGTCATCCTTGCTACTGAGGAACCTTCTAAGGCAGGTGTGTTGGTTTCTTTTGACCTTCTGCCGACTTCCAGTAGTCCTTGCCAGCATCACAATCCAAATGCATGGTTCTTTTTCGGTCTCCCTGCTTTAATGCCTATGTGTATGAGGCGATTGAAAATATCATGACAGGGAGGGAAAATGAGCTGATATCAAGGGCTCAAGGAGAAAGAAAATGTTTTCAAATGATGATGGCAACACTGTGCTGGACAGAGTGGATGGTGATAAGAGCTGTGAGAGCCGCCAATCAAATGGTTTAAAAAGAAAAGAAGAAAATATCATGGCTTGACCATGGTACCCTTCAATGAGCAAGTAATGGAAGACCAAAAAGTATGACTTTCTAATAAGATTTAATATCTGTATAATTATAATGAATTATATCATAGATGTTGAATTCATTGATCTGATAGAGGAAACACTAGAAATAGACCACAATTTTTTTATTATTTTTAATTTGGGGCTTGCTTCACTTCAAAAAGTAGACAATATCGGAGGGAGGGGAAAAATGAGGACCTAATGTCGGGGGTTTAAGTGGAGAGAAAATGTTTTTGAGAATGATGTACAAATGCGCTTTACACAATTGATGTGTGTATGGATTGCGATAACAGTTGTACGAGCCCCTAATAAAATGTTAAAAATAAATAAATAAAAGTCGACGACATCCCAATTCTCTGAGCTTCTGAGAAGTCCTGCTATAATGAGTACAACATGAAATCACTTCACGGAGTAGGAGTAGGCGTCAAGCTGCATAGTGTACGTGTGTGTACATGCAACCGTCCAGGTGTCCGTGGTTTCTTTAAAGCCCAGTTCACTCTACAACAGCAGTTCTCAACCTGTGGGTCACCACCCCTTTGAGGGTTAAACGACCCTTTCACAGGGGTCACCCGATTCCTCACAGTAGCAAAATGACAGTGATGAAGTCGCAATAAAAATAATTGTATGGTGGTGGGGGCACCACCACAGGAGGAACTGTATGAAAGGG